TCAGTCAGTGCTCATGTGCTGAAGATGATTGGTTTTATTGAAAAACTCAGTTCACTGGGTTTTATCATGGATCATGAACTAAATATTGACTTGGTTCTGCAATCTCTGCCAGATAGTTATTCACAGTTCATTATGAACTTTAATATGAATAAGATCGAATGCACACTCCCTGAGTTGCTTAATATGCTTAAAACTGTGGAGCCCAATGTTAAGGCTAGCACTGGGCATGTCTTAGCTATTCATTCCTTCAAGGGAACTAAGAGGAAAATCAAAGGAAATTTTAAGAAAACATCTAAAAAGGCTAAGGGCAATAACAAAGCAGTCAAAGCAGGCAAGGACAATACCAAATTTGATGACCCATGCTATCACTGTGGAGTGAAAAGGTCATTGGAAGAGGAACTGCAAGGCTTACCTCGCAAGCTTAAAGGGAAAGAAGTCTTCTGAAACTTCTACTTCAGGGACTAAAGAGAAGTAGACCACTGCAGAAAAGAGAAGTTGACATGTGCGTGGAAAATGAAGCAAGAGTTACTGCATTAGCTGTAGGGACATACTTCTTACCACTGCCTTCAGGCTTAGTATTAGAATTAGAAAATTGCTATTTTGTTCCCGCCATTACTAAAAACATTATTTCTATTTCGTGTTTAGACATGAATGGTTTTTCAATTAATGTTAAGAATAATCGTTGTTCGTTTTATAAAGATGAGATCTTTTATAGTTGTGGTGTGTTGCAAAATGGAATTTATATTCTTGATACTGAGTCATCTATTATGAATATAGAAAATAAAAGGCATAAAAGTGATAATCTAAATAATACGTACCTCTGGCATTGCAGATTGGGTCATATTAACGACAAACGCATTTCCAAGTTACATAAAGATGGATACTTAGGGTCAACTGATTTTGAATCATTTGACAAATGTGAGTCGTGCCTGTTAGGCAAAATGACTAAGTTCCCTTTTACTAGAATAGGAGAAAGAACCACAAAATTGCTGGGACTAATACATACTGATGTATGTGGACCCATGTCAATAACTGCCAGAGGTGGTTTCTCTTACTTCATCACATTTAGTGATAATCATTTTAGTTATGGTTATGTGTATTTGATGAAATTCAAGCATGAAGCACTTGAAAAGTTCAAGGAATTCAAACTTGAAGTAGAGAAACAAACTGGTAAAAATATACTAACGCTGAGATCAGATCGAGGTGGAGAATATTTAAAGGGAGAATTCTTAGATTATCTTAAAGAGAATGGGATTCTCTCGCAGTGGACTCCGTCATATACACCGCAACATAATGGTGTATCTGAACGGAGGAATCGCACTTTGTTAGAATGGTGTGATCTATGATGAGCCATGCAAACATCCTAAAATTATTTTAGGGTTATGCACTAATTGCTGTGTGCTACACACTTAATCGTGTCCCATCTAAATCGGTCGACAAAACTCCATATGAGCTATGGAGAGGAAAAAGACCAAACTTATCTCATATGAAAGTTTGGGGCTGTGACGCTTATGTAAAGCGAAATGAATCAGATAAGTTTGAGGCTAAATCTGACAAATGTGTATTTGTGGGATATCCAAAAGAGACAATTGGATATCAGTTTTATAATCTCGTTGAGAAGAAGGTGTTCATCTCAAGGCATGTCATATTCCTAGAGAAAGAGTTTATTCTAGGAGAGGGTAGTGGGAGCAAACTAGAACTTGAAGAAGTTCAAGAATCCACAGATACTGTTGACCAATTAGATGAACCTAAGTCTGATCCTACACCCGTTGATGAATAGACTCTTGATCAGGATGTAGATAACCCTGAGGACACTCCAGCTCAGCGTAAATCAAGTAGGATCATTCGACCTCCCAGAAGGTACGAATTCACGATTACTAATCAAGTATTATTAGTCGAGGATGATGAACTTACAAATTACACAGAAGCAAAGTCAAGTGTTGATTCGAAGAGATGGCAAGATGCCATGGAATCCGAAATGAACTCAATGTATGAGAACAAGGTTTGGACCTTGGTCGACCTTCTAGGTGGGATAAAACCGATAGGTTGTAAATGGGGTTACAAGAAAAAGGTCGATGTGGATGGAAACGTCAATACATACAGAGCAAGGCTAGTAGCGAAGGGATACACACAAAGACAAAGTGTTGACTTTGATGAAACCTTTTAGCCTGTAGCCATGCTAAAGTCCATTCGAATTTTGCTTGCAATAGCTGCATACCATGATTATGAGATATGGCAAATGGATGTCAAAACTGCTTTCCTTAATAGAAACTTACAAGAGGAGGTGTACATGACACAGCTTGAAGGTTTTGAATCCAAAGGAGCCAACAAAGTATGTAAGCTAAATCGATCGATTTATGGATTAAAGCACGCCTGTAGGAGTTGGAATCTTCGTTTTGATGAAACAATAAAAGGTTTGATTTTATCAAAAATGAAGATGAACCGTGTGTTTATAAGAAAACAAGTGGGAGCGCGGTCGTATTCCTGATATTATATGTCGATGGCATATTATTAATGGGAAACAACATCCCAATGCTTCAATCGGTAAAATTATGGTTGTCAAAGAATTTCTCCATGAAAGATATGGAAGAAGTAGCGTATATCTTGGGAATCAAGATCTATAGAGATAGATCTAAAAGATTACTAGGCTTATCCCAATCTCCGCACATAGATAAAAATCTTGAGAAGATTTAATATGGAAGAGTCTAAAAGAGGATTATGTCCCATGTCGCATGGGATTTACCTCTCAAAAGATATGTGTCCTAAAACACATGATGAAAGGAGTCGCATGGATAAGATTCCTTATGCTTCGGCGATAGAATCTATTATGTATGCGATGCTATGTACAAGACTAGATGTTTCATATGCTCTAAGTGTTACAAGCAGGTTTCAAGCAAACCTTGGTGAGAAACACTAGATGGTGGTTAAAAACATTCTTAAGTACTTGAGAAGGACTAAAGATGTGTTCTTGATCTATGAAGGAAATGAACTGAAAATTCATGGGTATACTGATGCCAGCTTTCAAACTGACAAAGATGATAGCAAGTCTTAGTCAGGACATATGTTTACTCTCAACAATGGAGCGGTTAGTTGGAAAAGTTCCAAAAAGGAAACAACCGCTGATTCAACAACAGAAGCCGAGTACATAGCTGCTTCTGAAGCAGCAAAAGAAGATGTATGGATCAAGAAGTTCATTAATGAACTTGGAG